ACGTGGAACTCCCAATACTGAGACGTCTGGTCTTAAAAAAAGAATTAGTTTTAAACTGAAGTAAAAGTTTAATATATTAATGAAACTTAAAGAACATGGATAAAAAAAATTTTTAACCAAACATTTATCTTTGGCTATAAGATGAAGTATATGAATGCATTTTCTGGAATTTCGATTAAAACATAGACCGTTTATGACACGTTTGATGCTTTAATACAGTTTCGGGTATCAAACTGTAACTCACTCTTCTTCAAAGATATTGAAGGCATTCCACAGAATGAGTGCGTCTATATGTGAGTTTTGACTCATTTGATACTAACAGAACGTACTTATCATTATGCGTTTATTTATTAACCGTTTTCTTCTCGAAATCAATGCTTCAATGTTTACTTGACATCTTTATCAAGGTTACAGTAAGAGAACAGCACTTATAACATCATCTAAAAACTATAAACTGCATGATGAATTTTCAAAAAAGACATTAGATTGATATATACAGTACGTAAAATAAAATCATAACAAGTATTTCTTATAGTTTTCTCTCAGAATATTTCCAAGTTTATATTGGGATTGACTCCTTGAAACAATGTGACTTCTTTTCTGTTTTTTCTCTTTCTCTACTATTCTTTACCACTTTTACTAATATCGTTTTGTTCTTTCTCTTTACAGAGTGAAGTAAACATTGAAACGTCAGTTTCAAGAGAAAAACATTTAATAAAGAAACATATAATAATGATTATGTCCTGTTAATATTTAATAAATATAGGCAAAATTATAACTACAGATGTATCTATGGCTAATATAAAAATATTTCCCTGTGAATTGAATCTGCGTACTATCTTTTATTGGTTCAACTTTTAATCGTGAATCAGAACGAAATCGAGAATACTATGAAAACACAAAATCAACTCCTGCACGAAGCTTCACTTTTTCATCCTTAATCCTTCTTAGAAAGATGCGCTGTGAAATACTCTGAAAAAGACTATATTGAACATCTTTTTATATACAGTAAAAATAAAAGAATGTAGATGAAAGACTGACCTTGATTTTTTATTTATCAACGCAAAACATAACGAAACCAAAGAAGTTATGTCATTTATTTCATTTCTGAGCTTTTGTCTGATGTGATCTTTTATTTAAAATGGAATAATTTTGAATATGAAGAGAATAAAGTGAGTCAATATGCTTGATTATATGAAAGGTAAAGAACGATGAAAATTTTACGTTGTACTCAGTTATTCGATGACGGATGTAAAAAGAAACGTAAGATTAAGCACGTATTACGGTTAAACCAAAAGATTTTCCAAAGTCAAGTATGTTAATCAGATGTCCATTTATCAATAACTTTCATTTCTATAACGTCTTGCTTGAACTGGACAATTTTCATGCTTCCCTCTGACTTTTGTAGTTGTCTGTACAGTCGCTCTTGTTCTGCTTTAATATTACTCAATTTAATAACATTTGTTCCAAGATCGCGAGTCCAGTTCCCAGAATAATGATAGAAACCAGCATCATTACCACACGGAGCAGTATAATATTCTGAGTAGGTTCCATCTTTGTTAAATTCAAAAAAAATACCCCACTCATAATTTTCAGATATAACTCGCGTTAGTGTTCTGTCATCAGCTGATTTTTCTTCAACAAACCATCTACCAAAAAGTTCACTTGCTGCTGTATTACTCATATTACAATTATAATTCGAATAAAAATGATCTTTTAATAAGTAGCAGACGATAAAATTTGATATATTTTGCAACTAAATATATTTTTTTCACCTTTTCCTGCTTCTTCTTTTGTCCACGAACATGAAATCCTACAAGAAGAAAAAAGTGTATTTGACTATTCGCTGACGCGATGAAGTGAATTTGATTTGATAAAATGTTTACATCTGATTCTAAAAACTATATTATTTAACAATAAATAATAAGAAAAAATACTACGATCCGCCTCATTGTATCAGCGAATAATCAAATACACTTTTTTTCTTCTTGTAGGATTTCATGTTCACAGACAAAAGAAGAAGCAAGAAAAGGTGCAAAAATAGATAGATATTAAAGTAGAACAAGAGCGGCCGTAGCGACAATTACAAAAGTCAGATGGAAGCAGGAAAATTGTAAAAATTCAACGTGACGTTATAGTAATAAAAGCTAGTGATAAATGGACATCTGAATAATATACTTGCCCAGGCATACAAAAAAAATATGTAGTATCGCCTGATTCATCTAGATTACTAGATTTTTACTCGATTGCCATTATTAGATAACCACAGTGGAAATCTAGTGATTGGGCGATTGCTAGATTTCTTCTACTTGCAACTATCGATTTATCGCCCGATAATCGATCAATTTCACTATTGCTAGTTGCATATGCAGACACATCTAGTTAAAAGTCTCTTTTCCAACTAGTCGTGTATCGTCCACTTACAGAGGAAATGTATCTAGATTTTTCGCATAGGTGATGTTTGCTTTGGTGACTCTGGAAAATGTTTTGGTTTAACCATAATACGTTCTTAACCTTACGTTTCTTTTTACATGTGTCATCGAATAGCTGAGTACAGCGTAAAATTTTCATCGTTCTTTATCTTTCATATGATCAAGCGTATTGACTCACTTTACTCTCTTCATACTCAGAATTATTCCATTTGAGTGCTAGGAAAAACGCTCCATCCCGAGCAGATATAACTGGGATCGAGTCGCGCGTTTTGAGACTAGATGAAGGAACTGGGTGCCATCGGAAAATGCGGACAGGACCAGACTCGTAATCAGGGGCACTTTCCGATTTGAAAAACAGGCGGATAAGTGGCTGAGAGGGTCTTCCGATTAACGAAAGTATCGACAGCGGTTCCGAAGAGGACTGACAATCAGAGATACTAAGTGAATCAAAATCAATTTGGAGCGAGCCAGTGGAATCTGCAGTCGGTTTCACGGACAGTGACAAATCCTCTAAAGGGGCAAGATCTGGCACCAGCATGGGTGAAAGAGTAGGTGTTTCGATTTCTTCAATATGTATTTGGATAGTATGAAAGTTAAGAATGGGCACTACCTCAGCAACCGCGGCATAAAAAACTTCATGTGGATCATGCTCACAAAATAGGTCGGACGGACCAGAGAGGGAATTGACACATTCCTCGGAAGCAGACACAGGAGGTTTATCGGTAGGCGAAGAGGAAATCGGAGCTAGCTGGACTATTTCAGCTTCCGTCGAGGGAAGGTCAGTTGAGTCACCATCTACTGACAGAGTGCGTTCATCTTCAGGGTTAGAAAGAGGAATAGCCGATGTGTACGATTGATAAAGGGAGTCATCTTGAATGGAGTAAGGAAATACGTAACAACTCGGGGTCAGATAGCGCTGTACGAGAAAATCACAGCCATCATTCAATTCAACCTCATATTTGTTCTGCCAAGGACGACTTTGGGTAATTCGCGCAGGCAGCTTGCGATGTTTAGGGACAACGAAAATAAAATCCCCGAGTGCGAATGAAGGATCAGAAGGAGCGGCTTCTTGTTCATGTTCAATCGACATATCCCAAAAGTCCACACTGGGGGAATAGAAAGGGTAAGTGTCAGAAGAAGAGTGAAGGAGGGAGGGGTAAGTAATAATTGAGTCGGAAACCAATGAACTAGCAAGTGGACGAGGAGTCAAAGGTACGGAGAGATAATCATACATGGTCCGGAGTATTGCAGAAAGATTAGCCTCAAATATTCGAACTAAACAGTCCAATTGGTTTTGAGTATCCAAGGAAGTGTCGTCTAGGTTCAACTGTAAGTAGTGAATTGTGTGCTGAAGAAGATCAATTTCTCTAGCACTCAAAGGGTCCAAATGTACCGTCTGAGAACAATGATTATCATAAACCGTCTGAAGATGGTCTTGGATGGACCTTTCGGATGAGGATAAACATAACTGTAAGTTTTGTAATTATTGATCAAATGAGCATACCAACAAAAAATAATTATTATTTTGAAAGTTGGATATACGTAAACTTTTATTATATAAAATATGTATTTGTGATGAAATTTAATGTCTTAAAACTATTGCATATTTTGAATTGAACAGTAGTCTTTTGATTTTTAATTATTTTTATAATAATTAAAGCTTTTTAATGTGATTTCGAAGAAACCAAGGTTAATATTATATTTTTTCTAGTGTGATGCATGTATTGTTTTCGTCAATAAGATAGTTTAGAGTAGAATTTGATTACAAATTTTCAAAATTTTAGGTCCCCCACAGAAAGATCTATTTTTGCTTCAGAACAACCGATCTGGCTTATACTTACAGGAATTATGTGTCTCGGTGTCAGTAGTTCATAGTAAAAATGGCATTCCGAAATATCGAGTTGTTCAAGAGTTATCATAGCATCAAGGATCAAAAAATAGGTTTCCGTATTTTAAGGATTTCTTCTCCAACTCTCATGATACAGATTTCGGGTTTATGTCAATATGTAGCTAAAACCTGTCGCTACAACTGAACAGAGTCCAATTTTTCAAAATTTAGTTTCTTCAGTTCTGATAAAAACTTCGCTAAAAAAATCCGAACAAATAGGGGTATCCTTACTGAAAAAATTTAGTTTTCTCAAAAAGTCAAAACTGAAAAATCCGGCTCTGCTGAGTTGTAGAGCGCAATTTTCCTTTCAATTTAAAACCTTCCCGAGCTTTCTAGCGTGTAAAATGGCCGAGAAATCTTTAAAATACGAAAAAATCTATTTCGAGAAAAACGTGAAATAAATTTAGGCGTTGAAGAATCAAGCTTTTGTTCGTCATAAAGCCCTACGAAAAAATTCATTTGGAAGATGCGTGGGGATGTGTGAAGCACATTTGCCGATAAATGCTAGTGATACTCTTCATGTGACCAACCTATACGGGAGGTCAAAGGACTTCGGCGACTTCGGCTCACAAATACCCCGTCAGATTAAGAGTTTTCAAGAAAATTCTGTAAAACCCGCAGATGCCATCGAAAAATCAATGAATTATAGTGCATTCGAAAGTACGAACCTTGGGCTACTCAACTATGTATGAAACTCAAAAACCTTAGTCGCAACAAAAATTGGAATTTTTGAGTGTCGGTGAGAGCCTTAAGATTGATCTACAATTCAAAGTATGAATTTGCAGGACTGATACACCTGATAATCTATTTGTATTTTAAGGTTATTTATTGAATTATAAAATTAATAAATAAGATATACTTAGGGCTGACCAAAAGTTCGTAGAACGGTGTTTAAATTTTTATAAAATACTTAACATCGAAAGATTTATTGCATGAATACTTAGTCAAATGTCTCGTCTATAATTGTAACAGTCTTTTAGATAAAGTCTATAGCACAGTGAATATACGAACATTCCTTGTCCAGGATTCGAGTATATTTCTGAATTTCGCATTTTTTCTTTCCTCCCTCATATGATATTTTCTGACATATGCACTTAAATATTTCATGTAACAGTATATATTGAGTGCAAAATCATTTATTGAGTTAGTTCATTCGATTCGCTTACTTTTTTCGTGTGAATAAATCAGCATTCCCGATCGATACTTTGTATCAAATATCAAAGTCATCCTGAACCTGTGACAAAATCTGATTTGAATTTTTTTTAAATCATTAAAATGACCGATGAATTTAATCGATATTATATTAAAATTCGGACAATTGATTGGAAATAGATGCAAAGACAATTTGCGAAAAACTTACAACAGCATTGGGACCTGATGCTCCAGCATATTCAGCTGTTGCAAAATGGGCGAAACGGTTTCGTGAAGGGAGAGAGGATGTCAATGATGACTTTCGATCTGGTCGTCCGATTTCGGTACTTACAGATGAAAATATCGAACAAGTTCGACAAGTTATCGAAGATGATCCGCATTCAACCTGTGATGATATCATAGCCGAGACTTCCCTCTCTCATGGTACAATAGAACGGATCATTCATGACTGTTTAAAGATGAGAAAGTTACTTCGCGTTGGGTTGCTCACAAACTCAGTGATGAACAAAAGCAACAACGACTTAGAGTTTGTCGTCAAAATCTAGCAAAATTCCAGACTGGGAAATGGAGATTATCTGATGTCATTACTGGTGATGAGACATGGATTTATCATAGACGGATTGGTCGAAAGTCAAGTAATGCTACATGGATTAGCGAAAATGAACCACCAAGGACCATTGTTCGTCGAGATAGATCTGATCCCAAAACATTGTTTTGTTTATTCTTTAAGTCAAACGGTCCTGTTCTTATACACAAAGTTGATAAAGGCAAGACTATCAATCACAACTATTACATTGAAAATTGTCTCAGACCTGTTATTGATGAAATACGAAAACAAGAAAAGTCATCACGCACAAAATGCATCAGATTGCTTCACGATAATGGTCGTTCTCATATTCATCGGGATGTTATTGACTATTTAACAGAAGAAGGTATTGAAATAATACCACATCCACCATACTCACCTGATCTTGCACCCTGTGACTTTTGGCTCAATAATTACATCAAGATTAACTTGGCTGACCAAGAAAACGAAGAATCACTAGCGCGGGCGGTTTGCGAGATAGTGAACAATATTCCAGAAAAAGGCTTTAAAAAAACTTCTAACAAACTATTAGAAAGAATGGAACTTATGGTGACTATTTTGAACATTTAATAAAATAAAGCTAAACATAGATCTTTCTTTATATATTTTTAGTTGATGTTTTGAAAACCTTTGGTAAATCCTAAATATATTCGAATCCTGAACAAGGAATGTTCACATGTTTATTGCATTATAAGCTCTATCTAAAAGACTGTTAGAATATAGACGAGACATTTGACTCAGTATTGATGCAATAAATCTTTCGATGTTAAGTATTTTATAAAAATTTAAACATCGTTCTACGAACTTTTGGTCAGCCCTAAGTAGTTGTAGTTTTTTTGTTCCAACAACCATGTTCACACATTATTTTTCTAATTATTTAACTCTGAAGAAATGCAGATCTATTTTCCGTATTAATTTTCACTATAAGTAGTCTATATAATCATTTTGACTTTTTGTGCATTTTTGCCCTAAGTTAACTGGAATAAAAAACCACAATTATTAGAACTCCGTTAGAGCCAGTAAATTCTTTTTTGGTAAATATGCACACGAATGAGTCTAGCTAGAATCATTTTCATTATTATATGATTTAATAGAAAGAAATTTAGTAACGAGGCCGTTATTTTCCTAAAAGAAACATGTTTCCATACATGTGATATTGTGCTCTATGATGTTCTTGAATTGTGCAGGTCAAAACAACATTTTTGTGTTGTACAAAAACATTCCATGGGATCTTCTCTCTGATCGTAAAGAAAGTGAAATTTCCTGTTATTGATGATAGACTATCGTACACTTATATAAGCAAAAGATTTTATCTTTTGCCAGTGAGATAGTATAAAGCTGTGTTTCTACAACATCTATGTCTAACTATACTGATAGATAGTTTTTATCGACAAAGTTCCGTCTAATTCATGCGCCACTCTCCACCAGACACGACAATCCGTTCCAAATATAACAGTTTCAACCTTCTCACTCGTACGATTTGCTACATCTTCGTCGATCTACCACACAAGCTATCTTAAATGCAAAATCCAGATCTTTTTGCACCTAAACTGTATGGCTTGGAATTCCAGAATCGAATAGAATGGCGCAGAATCATATGGAACCATACTGGTAGTTCCATGGAGACTCTTGGAATCCGGTATCATAATATAGATCTAGTAAGAATCTAACGTCTGATCGTCTGCGAGACTAGAGCTTTAGCAGTAGCTGCTATTTCGTGGGGCAACAATTGTTTTGAGATTCTGTGCGATTTTACATAATTCTGTTTGATTTTATGGGACTCTAAAAGACTTATAGTTTAGAGATTTCACAGATTCTCGTAGACTTCCAAATCCAAAGTCCTTTGTTTCGTCCTTAATCTACATACATTATCATACCACACGATGATGCTGTGATACTAGCAACATAAGGAGAAGGAGAATACTCTTATGGCTTAGCAAAGATAGAAGATCATACGAGTTATAACCTGTGGAAAAGCTTAGAGCGTATATATGCGGGTCGCGGGACCAAAGGGTTAAATTATCTAGCGATGGAGCAGGATTATACAATCAACCACAAGAGAAAACATTGATAGAAACACTTCCAACTGCAGGACAAAAGGATTCATTTTCAAGTAAGAATGCTGAGTGACTTTAGCAGATATCAGCAATTTTCTCTGCATTCTACTTGCAGGTGTAAGAGCTAGTATTACCTTTGGTATTATCTTGTTCGCTGTGACTGTAGTTGGTTTCATATTACTGCATATACGGAAACAACCGTGCACAGCAAATCTGGGTAATGAGCTTCTAATCAAGTACGCTGACAAAAGTGGGTTAATCTCGACGTGAATGTTCTTCCTTCTTCTAGATTTCAAAATATTCTTGACATTTTGTATCTCCGTCGTGTATTTCTCCAAGCGCTACGATTCATAACACCAAAATAGACAATGTCTTTTATTCTTCTAATGAGAAAGGGCCAAATTTTAGTCAACAACTCACCTGTGGGAAAATCTACTCATTATCCACTTTAAGTACAATGGGGTATTACATTATGGCACCCAATAACTTACGAACGCATTTTTGAAAGTTCTGGCTACGCGATGATTGTTCTTAAGATGAGCACATCATTTGCTGAAAAACTTTTATCAAATCCTAGCAACATCAAACTTTCCATCTCATATAACTTTTATGGATGTTAGCTCTCATTCCAATTTTGTCCTATAACAGCCTGGTTCAGAACTCGAGAAAAGTATTTGCTTAGAAATATGTTTTATTGGCATGTTTATCGCCACGAAAAAAGCGTTACTCATTGATGTATGCAAAGCGATGTTGAGGATATCTTGTTTGAGAATAAGAAAATGCATCTTATCATAGCGAAATGTCTGTTGACAGATATTTTAGCGTTGTTGGAATTTGTTTGATGTTGTTATTCTAATTGCACCACCATTCTCTTTAAGTTTAATTTTTAAGAACAATCACATATATGAAAATATTATCGCTATTACTAAGCACTCATTGCATACAAGCACAAGTATCTGGATCGAACATAATGCTACATAAATTTGCAACTGAATTTCATCCGCCGAATAATATTGAAAATTTAGATACAAAATACAATATAAAAAAATGAATACTAGTGAATTAATCTCCTACTCTGTTCTTTTGCATCTGAAATGCTTTTTCAAATATTTAAAAAACGATTTCCCATCTATCAAACTTCATTACTATTTAGTTTAAAAGACAAGAATTGATTAAATGTAAACTCGAACAAAACCGTCTATTGTTCGTCGACACATTGGGCACGTACGAAGTGAATGACCGCACGGCACGCACGTTGCCACATGTCCACACGGCATACAAGCGAGTCGCCTTTCATCCATCAAACACACCGTGCACATGCTGATATTTAAACTCGGACTCAAATTAAAGGCTTGAGTTTGACTCTTTTGGGGTTCAGCTAAACTTTCGCTTGTATCCAGCAGTGTTTTCTGTTCTAAAATTCAAAGAAAATGTGTAATTAGAATTAGATGTGGTAGAGATCCATCTTACCTTTCATATTCTTATCCGTTATTTCTTGGAGTTTTTTGGATGGGATAATAATCTTTTCTTTTTTGCCGTCGATTACATCAATCTGTTTTTGAAGAATCAAACACGCCATATGTAGATCAGTATCACCCGGAAAATCATCGACTATTAAATAAAGAATAATTTAGAGAAGATAAAAGGAGTATCGATGTTCAACGTACGTTTGAGTTTCAGTTGATCTTCGTAGCACCGTTTTATAATTAATCGTCGATATTTGTCTGACAGATGTTGAGATATTGGTAAATCTAGACGAGCCGCAACATATTTTGACAATGTATTATCATCCAGTATCGATATTTGAGTACTGGAGGATGTGTGTGGTTGTTTTTGATCTAAATTAGAGACAGAATATCTCGCTTATTGACTTCTATCACTTAGAAAGAAGGAATGAACCTCGTTTCGCTTGTTGGATTCTCTGAAATAATTCATCGCCGCACAATTGTCGAATGTAAGCGCAATGAGGAAACCAGCGAGCGTGTTCAGTTGTCGGATTTTCCTTGGTCGTCCAATTCTGCAGTGATCCATTACAGTAGAAACATGAGACAATTGTTTGCGCGCCCGAGTAGAAGAAGCCCGCTTTAACCATCTCGTCCACTGCTGGTAATGGTTTATCTTTGGGCCATTTAGCAAATGTTTCATGTCGTTTTGGTATCTCAACAAACTTTTGATTACACACCTGAGTAGGAACAATCTCACAGCTAGAAAAAACATTGGATGTTCCATTGAGAATGAGAGGAATGTTCGCCTTTGAGAAGAGAAGATAGGATTGGACGAAACAGCAATTGGGTGACAGTACTCGATGAACTTCACTTGGGTCATCGGTAAGAATCCAATGTTGGCAGATCAAATTGCAATAGATGCAAATGACCCGATCGCCAACATTACAGTTGAAAAAGCCGCTTGCGATCATCTGACTTTTCGTCGGCTGTTTCGACGACCAATGGGAAAATGTGTGTTTACGAACATCTACCACAGATTGAGTTTCATTAAATGTTCGAACGTATTTTTTCCGCTTTATTTCGATCTCAGTCGATGTTTCACTTGATGTTAATAATGGCCGTTTTCGATCGATCAACGTCAGTTTCAATGTGTCCGACGAAGATTTGGTTCGACTGAGCGTATCACCAAACGCTTCAGGATAATTCTGAGTTGTCGATAAAAACTGTTTTTGTGGTTCGATCGCCATGTTCATGACTGGTACTGTAAAAAAGCGTTTAAAACGCGTCTTATATCTTTCTCTTTCATAATTACCCACTAAGTACGAGCAGAAAAATGACTGTGTTTTTACCCTTTCTTATACACGTTTGATTGAGCAATAACTTCTTGTTGTTGAGAAAGAATAAAGGAAGGTAACGTAATAGAAAGGTTCTTTGTTATGAAATGTATGTGTGACGTACACGAAATTTGTTCGCATTATTTTAATGGCAAACCTGGTAAGATAATTTCGGGAAAACCCCCAGATAATAGAAAGAAAAAAGAATGGGAGAGATTTACTCATCCTCGTTTTCCCCCCAAAACAGAAAAGTATTGCTTGACCGAGAAGACAATGTGAAATTTAGAAGAAAATTCTGATAGAACTGTTCTATTCAAATACATGATTAATAGTGCAGTTTGTTTGAATTTTGTCATATCCTTTATTTCTCTGGGTATTTCGATATAAAATATATTTTCATTTTTTCTGTGCAGTAGTTTTATGTTGAAAATGATCGGTTAAGATCGAAATATCCTGAGTAAATAAAGATTATAATGAAATTCAAAACAGCTGCACTATTAATCAAGTTTTTGAATCAGAAGTCGTAGCCATTACAAAATTTAGCACATTCAGTTCAAAGGTAAGAGCAAATAGTTCATCGTGTCATGAAAGAGAGGTTGAGCTTGAGCAATTGAGAATGATTTGTGAATGTGAGTTTGAGAATACGACTTCAGAAAGCTTAGGCTCCGTGTGCAAACGGCTGATATTTTCATGAACAAAAATACTATATTATATTTTGTAAATAAGAAATATTAAATATCTCGAATGAGAATCGATTCAAGAGGATGCAATGTACAATTCAGCTCCTCCTAGTCTGAATGAGAGATAAGAAGCAAAAAAGAGATGTGAATTTAAATTTGGGAGTTGAGAAGAACGAGAGAGGTAGCTTTTTTAATAAAAAAAGGTTCCTTTTTATGAACCGATGGACTGAGAGCAGAACCCTTTATGTTCTACGTTTTGACAACCTATAACCTAATCTATAAAAAATTTCACAATTAGTCCTAACCTAATCTATGAAAAAATTAGAGTATCGGTGACTCAAAATTAGAAAAAAACTTCGCTTGTGCAAAACCAGAAAAAAATCGATCGTAAAAGATCGTATCGTATAACAATACGCATGAGTTACAGAAGGGCGAATAACAAAATAATAGAAAAATAACAGACCATCGAACAACACCTAATAACATGTTACTTATCGATATTATTAGATGTTTTTCATCGAAGCATTCTTCGTTGTTAATTAAAACTAGTAGAATATTTGGATATCAACCGCATACGCTTCAAGAGCGAACAAGTAACTGTTGAAGCTTTTTGACGTTTCTTTTTTGAAATCGATTCAGATATCCTGATACTCATATAGTATAAATATCTAGTATGAACACATCAGTTTTGGTGCGAAAGAAAATCTTTCCCGGGACTTGTCTGGATTAGTTACAGAAACTCTAAAACAGGTTATTTTCCAATTGTACAACAGCAATATATAGATCGTCAAAAACTGATAATCATGGTTCGTCATCAAGAAGAATAAATTTTAAATCACCTTTGTGCAACAAACTTTTGGACGGTATTTCTTTAGTTAGATAAAAAAAGACATACAACTACCTGCATATTCAATTGTACACTGGATTTAGTTTTATTGTTCATTTATAATAATGGATAAAAGTAAATGAATCATTTACACTTAAAAGATAAAGATAAATTCGTCATTTATATTTAAAAACGAGATTTGACGGAATATCTTTTCCTCCTTGTCAGTCTTCTCTTTTTTCTTTCTGTGACGTCAAATCATCGTCTGCCGAAAAACTGTTTCTTTCACTTGAATGTGATTTTTTTATCAAATAAGGAAAGCTTTTTTAAAGTACATTCTCGTGAAATGATATCTTCTAATTCTCAATTTCGATCGAAAAATATCATAGACAAAT